TTTTTTTTTTCCCCTTCCACTTGCCCCTTTCCACTGGCTGCCTCCGTTGCAGGCTATGGCCTCTGGCTCTCTTCCAGGCTTGTTTGGAGCATCAGAGCTGCACGTTTGTGACTTCCTCCAGCTTTCTGGCAGATGTGACAGCAGTTCGTTTTGTATAAGGTTTCCTGTGTTTGTGCCTGTTCTGTGTGTGTGTGTGTGTCTGTTTGGGGCTGGAGCTGCCTTGGTGCGTGTTCACAGTGGTAGTGTGTAAAGTGTGATTGTGAGGGACTGGAATGGTGATTGCTCGGCTGCCCTGTGTGCCACTATTAGTTGTTCTTGTTGTGTGTGTTGTTTTTTGGTTTTTGGGGAAGATGCAGGTGGTGTTCCTAGCAGGCCCCAGGGAGACAGAGGAAGAAAGGGTCGTGCCTTAATAAGAAGATGAGCTGGAGGGTTGCTATTCCAAGGAGAGTGTTGTGATTGGTTGGTATGCTGATGCCATTTTGCTTTGTGTGTGCAGGTGTGGAGCGAGGCAAGGAGTGCGTTGCTCATGTCCTGGAGGAAGAAGCGGTACCTAGCGTAGGGGGGAATGTCTTGCTGGCCCTGTTGCCCACTGCTCTTGTGCTTTGTCAGGTGCCTGGTGGTTGTGGTGCATAGCCTGGTGTTTGGAATAGATGAGTAGAATAGGTAAAGTGGATTGGAACAGGTGTTGGAGGAGATGCAGTGCTGTGGATGGGGTGTGGGTTTGGCATCCCCTCAAGGAGTGGTCCTGTCTCTCTGTGTTTGCAGGTTTTTAAGGATGTTGGGGAGAGAAGCAGTTGAATGGTCTCCAGGAGCGTGAGTAGGTAAGGAGGGAGCAGCTTGTTGGACACCAGGTATATTGCGCAGGGCCTGATGTTGTTGTGTCTCTTGGTGAATGTTCTTGCTCTGCTTTTCTGGGTCATGTACRGGCCTTTACTCAGAGGGAACATGATGCAGCATTTGGGTGGAGGGGCTTGTTACCAGGTGTTGTGGGTTTGGTGAGTATGGCCTGTTGACAGAGATAGGTTTTGTTTGTCCCAAGTGCTCTGGATGTTACTCTGGCCACGATGCCAGTGTTTGAAATTGGCGCAGCGCAGATGAGCAGCACAGGGACCCTGACACTGGTGGAGGTGGTTCTTGCTGCCGAGACTGTCACTGACTGTCAGAGGAGTGACCTCTTGCTCTTTGCTTTGGCAGGTGATGAAGGTTAATGTGGCACCCTGAGGAAGACAAGAGAGGATGTTCGTTGTTTGTCACTGAGGATATCTGTTGAGGCCTGTTGGTGACCCAGAGCCCTGCCAAAGCTAAGTTGAGGGACAGAGGGTGTTATGCATGTGCTTCTGTGTGCATGTTGCTGCCAAGCGATGATGGGTGGAGGGCTCCTCTCGATGATTCGTGGGAGAGGCAGGTGTAGTGAGGGTAGCATGTGTGGATGTGCTTGGGTGGGCAGCACCAACCTGTGCCTGTGTTGCTGGGTAGTCTGGGCGGGTTTGTGTCGTACCTTCTCCTTTTATCTGGGTCCTGGCGTTGCTGTTCGTTCTTTGTGCTCTTTGAGCACGTCCGGCTCTTTGCAGGGCTAGCATGGAGGTGTACATTGTCTTTTGCCTGGTCTTGCTTGCCAGCAGATCGTGGCTTTTTCTGTGTAGCCGGCTGAAAGGGGCTCTGTCATTTGTGGCCAGACGTCTTTGTGGGCATTGTTGTGGCCTCCTCAGCTACTGGTCTGTTGCTCGTGCATGACCGTTCCAGTGCTCATGTACTTTCCTGGTGTCCTTTCATCATTTTATTTCCCATGTTGTCAAAGTCTTGGTGCTTTCTAGTGTGTTCTGCACTCCTGTTCTGGGATGTGCTGGCCCTTCTTTGCCATGGTCAGTGGCATGTAAATACTATCTAGTCTTGTTTGGAGAATCAGAGCTGTGCAGTTGTACTGATGTAGGGCTTGCTGGCTGTTGCAAGTGTGTGCATGCATGGGGAGTGTGTGTGAACCTGTGTCTGTGTGGAGGCTCTGTGTAGTTGGGCTAGCAGCCAGAATAAAATAATGTATCCCTGAAATATTTTGTTTTAAGAGGGGATTTACTAGTGTAGAACTTGTTTTTCTTCTATACAGATATATTTCTAAGGCAGCTTCTGAGTAATTTTGTGCTTTATTTCACACTGGTCAGGTGAAAGGTTGGTTCCTGAAGCCTTCAGAAGAAGTCACCTGCTTCAACTCAGGTACATCGGTGATGGGCACAAATCTCTATGAAAGATGGACCCAACCATGAATGTTTGTTTCACAATACAATAGCAGAAAGAGTATGAGTGTGATGTAAAAAAAAGAAACACTGCCCCGCACTGTGCCCGGGAAGCGGGAGCACATGCAMTGTGCCCACCGGGGGTGTTCAGTGCTGCACTCTGGTACCAGGAGACAGTACTGCAGGTGAATCATGTGCTCGCACCTTATGTTCCCAGCTGTTAACCACTGCACTGGCCTGTCTGAGAAACAGTACTGCAACCAAAGGATTGCAGTTGGAAAAAAAAAAAACCATTTTGAGAGCTGCTCGAGACTGGCAGACATCATACTAAGCTCCTAGAAATGACAAGTTTGGACTGCACGGCAACATTGTTCTTGCAGCTGCATTCAAAGAAGCTATCTGCTTCACTCCAGGTAAAGACGGTGGAAACATAGCTGTATAAAATGATGGATTCTTATTTTTCAAACACTAATAGCTGTTTCAGTACAGTCACTGTTTAAAAAAGAATAAATCAAAAAAGAAACCAAAACCAGAACATCTCAAGGTTTGAGAGAGGAAGCCTGTTCAGCTTGTTAATAAAGCAGAACTGGAGCTGAAAAAGTAGCATGCATCCACCTTGTATGGTGAAGCCACTGTGTGCTGCTGTCCTGTACCTCGAACTCGGTAGGGCGAGGGTAAGGGGGACTGTGCATACCCAATGCACTCAGGTGCTCCCCCTGCTGCCTTTGTTTTTTGGAAAATCAATACTGTCTGCCTAAGGTGTGAGGGGGGCGGGGTTCAGTGCTGCCCTCACATAACAAAGGCCAGTACCTGAGGATGAATTGCACTTGTGCACTCATGTTCAACAACTGCTGCACTGGCCTATCTAAAAAACAGTATCACAGAATGGTTGAGATTGGAAGAGACCTTTAGAGATCACATATTCCAATCCCCATGCTCCAGCAGGGACACCTAGAGCACGTGGCACAGGGTTGCATCCAGGCATATTTTGAAGAGCTCCAGAGAAGAAGATTCCACAACCTCCCTGGGCAGCCTGTTCCAGGGCTCTGTCACCCTCCCAGGAAAGAAGTTCTTCCTTGAGATGGAACTGCCTGTGTTTCAACATGTACCTATTACATCTTGTCCTATCACTAGCCACCCCTGAGAAAAGTTTGGCCCCCTCCTCCATACATTTGACCATCAGGTATCTATACATATTGATCAGAGGCCCCCTCAGTCTTCTCCAGGCTCAGCGGACCCAGCTCTCTAAGACTTTCCTTATAAGAAAGATGCTCTCTCGCTGTCTGCTGTCCTTCTGTAGAAGCTTCGAGTCCCTCTTGTCCTGGGGAGCCCAGAACTGCCCCCAATACTCCAGCTGCAACCTCACCAAAGCTGAGCAGAGTGGGAGGATGCTCTCCCTAATCCTGCTGGCGACATCCGTCTGATGCAGCCAGGATCCCATCGGTGGTCTTGGCCGCAGGGGCACACTGTTCTCTGTGGGAGTGCGCAGCTGCCACTGCGTGCCAAAAATCGGTATTGCAAGGGAAAGGGCGCGCATGCGCGGAGCGCTCGAGGAGTGTTCGTTGATGTCGTCGCCTGTCCAAGACCTGCTACTCCAAGCGGGAGGGAGAAGCACGCATCCATAGAGTGCAGGGGAGCGCTCGTTGCTGTCATTCTGTGTTCGAAAATCCATACTGCAAGGGAGGAGGGGGMGAAATCATGAAAGAATGTACACATTGCTTGGCAGCGATGTACACCGCTGCCACGTGCCAAAATTTGTTACTGCAATGCAAAGAGAGCGGCATGAATGCGCAGAGAGCTTGCTGCTGCCATCTCGTGTCCAAATATCGGTTCTGCAAAGGAGAGGGGTTACTGCAACAGTAGAGGTTGGGGAGCAGGGATTAATGTACAGATCGCTTGACAGCCACATGCGGGAAACTAAGCACTGTATTTTTGAGGGGACGATACGCATACGTAGAGCGGTCCGGAGCACTCGCTGCTGCTACCACGTGTCCTAAATTGGGTACTGCAAGAGGGGAGCACGCATGCGCAGAGCGGTCGGGAGTGCTCGCTGCTGCCATCGCGTGTCCGAAAATAGGTACTGCAAGAGGGAGGGGGGAGCGAGCATGCGCAGAGCGGTCGGGAGTGCTCGCTGCTGCCATCGCGTGTCCGAAAATAGGTACTGCAAGAGGGAGGAGGGAGCGAGCATGCGCAGAGCGGTCGAGCGTGCTCGCTGCTGCCATC